GTGTAGTTGTGTCTTCAACCTATAAAAATTGACTCGGTGATGTTAAGTGTAGTTAGTGGCCTTCGTGCTATTGTGTCGTGGCTCTTAATTGATCGGATAATTTCTTATTTTGGGGTCTTAAAATATACGTCATGTGCGTTAATCTTAGTGTGCCGAGATGCTTTCCGTTTTTGGAGTCTCTGGCTGGCATACACGTATCTATTGTATGTAATTGGTCTAGATTGGTGGATATAGTCTCCATTAAGGGACATGCCTTGTAATACTGGGTCATTCACGTATACTTCTAAAGAAACACGAATTAGCCCTTCAGGGAGAATTTTCAAAAGGCCATATAATACATGTGGTGGATTAATAATTGACCACAATGCTGCTCCTCCTCAGCAATAAGGCATCGTTTATGCATATAAGAGTACAACACAAAACCCAACTGGCCCCGGGTCAGAAAAAAAATGGTACGAAAACTAGACAAATTTTGGGGCACCGAGTAACCGGCTGCCACCGGTGACTACTCGTTTGAGGGGTGAGGGGGGTTGTCTCTCGGCAGAGAGTGCTTCCTTTATCCAGAGAGATATTACTGGCTGCTGTCGGTTGTCAGTAATATTGGTTGGTTGGTTTTTGGTTGTTATTATTATTTATTTATTTTGGTTGCTTTGGCAATGTGGGCAAGTATGGCTTTGGTTGTATTTTGTGTGCGCTTTAACTTTAACTTCATTTTTACTGGAATTGTCCTTGGCTTTATTCCTGGGGCTAACCTCTCTTTAAGCAAAGAATGGCTTGGAACAGAGGGACAAGAAAACCAAATATATATTTCATTTTTTTTGTTCTCTCTCTGGACAGAAGGCAACCAAACAGTCTCTCTTTTTTAGAGTTATAAATAAATGGGTTTTCTCTCTCCTCTTCCCTATTATGAAAAAAATGTTTTGATTTGGTGAGGAAAAAGCTTTAGCTAAAGATGGGGGGTTCCTACAAGATCTTCTTCACCAAGAAAAGCATAGTCAAGGTCCCAAAGCACCCCATTACTCTTCCACCCCCCTCCCTCTCTCTCATCATGTTTGTAATCACTTGGTTGGTTTTGGGAAAATTGAAAAGAGAAAAATAACCCAAAAGTTTAGTTACACTATTCTTTTTGTTTTTCATGTTTCTTTATTAGAGAGTTATATGATATGGTGCGGTATGATTAACTGAAAATCTTAATAATATGATCAGTTTTAAAATCATTGTATTTTATCAAGTTTCGTTAAATTTCGTTTAATATGAAAATAATAAATAATATGATGATTCCGAACTGACTTTAGCAGTGAGGAATCTTTTTCATACTCTATGACATAATTCTAATTCTTTATCTACTCTATAGGGAAGTATGAGAAAAGACTATGGTATAATGTAATTGTCCACACTTACTTTCGAAATATAATTGGGAATTTGGGATTGACATCTTTCTTCATGTTAACTCTGACTTCTTTTTCTTTTAAAATCAACGTGATTAAAAAAAATTCAATTTATTTCATGCAAATAGTTAACTAGGTAATAAATAAGAAAGATGATGAAATGTTTCAAAATACTCTGGCAGTGGCAGCTAGTGCTTACTTTTCTTATCTTTTATTCTTTTTGCCACCCTGAGAAAATAACAAAAAAGAAAGAGAAATTAATTATAAGTAGAAGAAAGAAAGTGCACGAAACATGCATGAAAGGCTTATGCAATATGGTCTGATTAGACCACTTTTTAACGTTAGGAATGTTCTGTTTTCAAAGTTAAAAAAAAAAAAAAAAAAAAAAAAAAAAAAAAATTTTGTTTTTTAAAAGTTTTTTAAAAACATATCCAG